GCCTCTTGAAGAGTCGCCACCCTCTTTCGAACCAAATCAAATTTGAATGTCGACCCGTCTTTGAGGCCTCTGAAAAATTCAGTATAGGCTACCTCATACGGTAACCCTTGAATCTGTATTCTCATCAGGTTAAACCGCCTGATGTAAGAACGAAGCCCCTCCTTCTCGCCCTGCTGAATCGTTCCTAAATCAAGGGTCGTCTTCTTCGCAGGTATGTTCATGGCAAAGTTGGAGGTGAATAAGTAAGCAAGCGTCCTGAAGTTATTCACACAACCAGTCGGCAGGTTGCCGAACCATTGTTGTGCGATTCCTTTGAGAGTCGCTGGAAAACACTTGCACCAAGTGGGATCATCCAACCCTTGAAGGTACATCAGGTTGGTGAATGCCATCAAATGGTCTTCTGGGTTAGTAGCGCCGTCATAGGCGCCTACTAATACATTTTTCACTTTGGCCGGCTGAGCGGCTTCAGTAATTTCCTTGGAGAAGGCCGACGACTGTTCTCCAAGTCTAAGCAACCGTAGCTGCCAGTCCATAGGTTGGACATTCTTTGCTGCATGCCCTCCAAATAGAGGTGGCTGCAAAAAATATTGTTGTTGCGGTACAAATGGTAAGTTTGGTACCGCCTGGTCACTATGAAAGCCGGACTGACGGGAGGTACCGCCTGACTGACTCTCATGATGCGACTGAGTATACCTCATCGAGGTATTGCGTAGACTGTCTTGGAAGTCTGAAATAGAGGTCGACTCTGACAATCGGTCATTCTTCTTCTACTCTAGCAATAGCCGAGCATCTGTGTATGTTTTCTTCGACCCGTCCGCCTGAATATGACGAACAGGTTTCCTCTTTCCTGGAGTAGGAAAGCGGTACTTTGTGAAATCAAGGACAGGCGGCTCCCACTTCCTAGAGTTAGGATGAGGGGTCGCCTCTCGCCCTTGAACAGGCTTCCTCTTCCCTGAAGACGAAGGTTTCTTAGCCGACTGCTCCTTGGCCAGAGCAGGCGGCTTCTTGTTGAGCAACTCTTGAATCTCTCCCTTGAAGCCCCTCATGAAGGTCATGAGTTCGTTTCTTGTAATGGGAGCAGACCCATCAGCCGGCTGCTGCTGAACAGGAGGTGCGCCGGCTGGATCACTGAGTCCAGTTTGAAGATCTTCTCGTTCTCTCCTTTCGGTATGACGGGTGCGTCGGGCCCCTAGGGTCCCGTCTGAAGCTGTGTGAGCTTCAACTTCAAATTCTTCCTCAGTATCATGGTCCGACTGAACTTGAGGGTCGTCCAGGGGACGCCTCTCTTCAGGAGTCGGTACAGACGTGGATGCCATCTCAGAAGTACTCTCCCCACAGACGGCGCCAAAATGTTTCGGGGTTTTCTGATGTCCTGCGGGAGAGTTACAATTCTGAGACTGGAACCGGACGCCTGTACCTGCAAAACAAACGGATGCTCCGGACGATTGGAGATCCGCCTCCGACGGTCAAGTTAGTACTTGATTAAGGAGTAATTAATGCGGAAATAAAAGTAATTGGGTCTCTTTAGGTGAGAGTGTTAAATGTGCGTCCTCTCCCTTAATGAGGATTAATGGGCATATTTATATGCCTTGGGATGCGTGCCAGTACTAGGTTTAGGTTAAACCTAAGGCTGACTGGGCCTCCCACAATGATTGGGCCTTGTTGGCCGGTTTTCCCATTTGGCATGGGTGGACACGTGTCACATTGCAATTGGTCCAAGGAGGACGAATCTCTTGATGACACGTGGCAGGCTCCTATTGGCCTACATGAAGGACACGTGGCGAAACCTGGCTGGCCCACGTGTCGGATGCTGATTGGTGGATAAAAATCCCCTAATCACTAATAATAATAACTACAAATACAAAACAATAACAATATTAATGATAATAAAAAATTATAACAACAACTACAAAACAATTTATAAGACCATAACATTAATTAATAAATAAATAATAACAACAACAACAACAACAACAACAAAAATAATAATAATAATAATATTAAAATTAATATTAAAATTATATTTCTACTAATTAATAATAACAATATCAACAATAAAAATAACAGCAACAACAACAATAATAATATCAACTACAACAACAACAATAATATCAACATATTACTAATAATAACAATAACAATAATAATTGTTGAGTCCCTTAGGTTTTGATTGATAGTTTTGAATGATGACAAACAGCTAAGGGAAACAGGTCTTTGAAAGTGTTCAATACAGTTGGGGGAACCAGCTAAAATAGAACACTGTTTCCCTAGATAAGTTATTACTTATATGAGATATTTGTTGAACTAACTTATCTTTATACAGGGAACAGTTAGATGATGAATGAGCTATGCACTGGTAGGAAACCAGTATAAACTGTTTTCTCAAACTGCTTTTATGAAAGGCAGTTACTTATTTAGTATTGTACATTAACTTTGTTGAATGTGCAGTATCTAAGTTGATTTCTAAGACTGGAAGCTTGAAAGAATTTTCGATCAACTTAAAGGAAGGTCCTTTGGTCAATAATTGAGTTCATTCATGGAAGCTTTCAAGACTTAACGAATGCATGAAGGAAGACTACACTCAAAGAGTTATTTAGGAACTTCATGTAAATGCTCCGTAGTATAACTTATATAATTGAGTATATAAAGTGCTTTTAGTATATTAAATATCGTTATGAAATTTGGTACAAGGTTTGGAACAAATTTCATAACATATTCAGTTCAGGGAACCAGGCCAGGGAACCAGGTTAACTGAACAGATTATTCAAGCTGCCGTTTTTACAAAGATTTTATAAAAAGATATTTTCCGAAAAATATTGATTTAAAATATATCCAAGCAGCTAAGAATAAAGATGATATTTTTGGTTAGCTAAAAACTAGGAAGTATTTTATCTTAAATTGATTTTATCTTGTGATCAAATCAATTAAGATAAATACTTACCATAAATCGTATATATCTTATATGCATGATTTAAGGTAACTAGGGTTTAGCTAACTAACCTATAAAATACATCTTATTCTGAATAATCAGATACGGCTCTCACGCATTTTAATAGAGTTTTATTTTTGAGAGCTAAAAGCACTAATTCAATTATTAAGTGATACACAAGAGCATAATAATGTTTTAACGTTTTTCTCTATTTGACTTTTGAGAGTTAGATCATTAGAGAGTTCTTGATCTTGTATTAAGTCTTTGACAGAGGGGTTGAAGACTTGGTGAGTGTTTGTGAGTTCAAACACACTAGGAACTTACGAGGGTAAGTTTAGAGCACATTCGGAGTAGAGTGTGGGGTTTACTGGTTCCCGGAGTAGGGAAACAGTAGAGTGTTCTTTGTCTTTATTTTCGGAGTAGATTAATAAAGGACTTAGGATAGGAGGACGTAGGCCAGAGTTGGCTGAACCTCGTTAAATCTGTGGTGTTCTTTATTGCTTTGTTTTATTCCGCTGCATAAGGGAACCAGCACAACTGGTTCCTTACACATAATCCGAAAAGAAGCAAAAATCGCTAACGATTACTTAACACTCAATTCACCCCCCCTCTTGAGTGCCCATTGAACCTTCAATAATAATAATAATAATAATAATAATAATGAAACAAAAAATAAACATATTACTCATAATCATATTAATACAACAAAATTACATTAATTATCAAATACTAAATCACAACAATAATCACAAGACCACGAAAAAAATACATAAAAAAAAACTTAATAAACATAAAAAAAAATTAAATAAACGTACTTAACATTTAAAAAAAATAAATTAATAGGGACATCCGCCTAAAATTTCCGGATGTCCCTAGGTACATCCGCCTGAAATTTCCGGATGTACCATGGAACATCCGGATTTTTTAGGCGGATCCCATCTTCCGCTTGAAATTTCCGGATGTTCCATGGTACATCCGGAAATTTTAGGCGGATGTCCTAATTACCGAAAATAAAAAAAAAACTTACAGAATGATCCGACGCATTCTCCGGCGTACGTATGTTCCACTCGCCGTCCAGGACCCAAGACCCGTCGGAAAATTTAACGATTTTTGAAAATAGAAAATTTAGGTGGTCGTGGGGACCGATTTGGTTGCAAAGTCGTGGGGACCGATTTTGGGAAGCTCGGGACAACAATGTCGTGAAGTGAGGGGACCGTTTCATGTATTGTGTCCAAATGGGGAACAAGGTCCTTTTTATAACCCAAATTGCATAAAGGGCATAGTGGTCTATTCAAGTCAAAAAGGGAGCGTTACCTGGTAATTTGGGAGCGACAAATAGCAGTTGAGAAGAAATTTTCTAGTTTGTCGGCTTGTGAACAAATTACACAACTCATTAACCAAAATATTCATGGAATGATATGATTAAAGTTATGAACATGGGTTTATTCTTAGGCATCCATCAATGTTAATAAGGTGGAATGGTAGGTGGATGATGTTAAGTATTGTTAGAATATATGATAATATATTCTAGTAAATATTTCTGTGTATATATGTTAATCTTACTTTAGGTTGTAATCCCTATATATATTGATTAATGAGAATATATAAGCAATTTTCTAGATATGTTAAAACAAGGTGAAATTTGGTAGGGTGGGAAATTTTTTGTTTATATAGGGAGATTTAAGCTAAATATTATCAAGTAATACCATTAATTCATTGCTGATGCTCAAAATTATTGCAAAGTTCTTAGGCAAAATAGTCTACATATTTCATCTAACTATGTTATAATTACTACCTTCAATCACATTTATATGAAATGAAAATAAAATACCGCTTCACCAGGTATATATTTAAGAGCAAATGAAGAAAATTATACAATTTTTGAAATAATATAACTTTACATTATTACTCGTAATATGATTTTGAAAAATATAATTTCATTTACACATAAAATAACGAGTACATAAAAAAGATTATACTACCTCCGTTACAAGTTATGTGCAACGATTAGACATTTTTTCTCTCTGCTTTATATCAAATCGTTGCACATAACCTGTAACGGAGGTAGTATTTATGAGTAGATAGCACCTGTAAAACAAGAGAACAACTTATAATTCTCATATCCATTATTATTATTATTATCGTATCTTTGAATTATTTGTTTACGACCAGAGCTAGAAGTCCTACCAAAATCATTTGCCATGTGGTTGAACTTATACTCATAGTTAACCCCAAATTCTATGGCAGAACCAAATCGTCGATGCCCATTTCTTGTTACATCAATCTCACCATGTGTGATCTCGGACGAAGGGACATCAACCTTGACATTTTCTTCATGATGATCTCCTTGACAACATAAATCAATGATATGTTGAGTTTTGGGCATTGGGGCAGCACCCATTGAAAGACACTTGTATCTTCTACGGCTACTTTTGTTTTTCTTAATGGCCTTAAAAACCATAGGAATTAAGCCCTCCATCAGATCACCTTATATTATGAGTAACTTAAAAAAGAATGTTAAAACTAAGTTTAAGAGTATATGCCCAAGGAGGAGGTTGTGCCTTAAGGTTAAAGAGTTTGAGCTTCCTTCTAATTTTATTCTTTATTTTTTCCTTGATTTTTTCCATCATAAAGGAGGTTTTGATTTAGATGTTATGTAAAAGATTAATGTTGAGTTTATTCATTATATACATTTTAATTGAAAATATCTTCATCCAACAAAAACGGGGTATGTACTCAACTTCATATCGGATATAATCAATCAAAATTTCTGCTGGCATAAGTATCTAATAGCCAAAAATAGTGCTCAAACATTTTGTAACAACTAAGATAGAAGCAAGGCTTCAATTTCTTTCTTTTTTGGGGAGAAATGATGGGAATTTTGAACTTATAAGTTAGTATAATTTTATAACATGTATAAATCAAATATACAACGACGAAAACTTACAAAATATAATTTTTATTAATGTTATACAATACATTTATTTTAAATAAAATTATAAATGGTATGCATATTTTATAACATTTAATTTGATAAAGTAAAGTCTATGTTATATAAAAAAAGTATAGTCCATGTCAATTAAGTTTAATATACCCGATATTTTTTTATTGAAGTAATTTAATGTGGTAGTTAGGGTCACTTATATTGTTGGTATGCATAAGAAAATTACCAGCTTTGTCCTTGTGCAAATGTCCAAGGATTATCGTGCAAGGCTTAGAGGCTAAGACAAGCTCCCAATTTTTTTAGTATGTTCACCCGATTCACCGAAGCTTCGCTCCGACTACATTTGGATCTAACATCAAGTTGATACAATCAAATTCTTTTTGAAGAAGTCCCCCATTAAAAAACCATTGTTTCCTGACGGTAAAGATGGATCTGGGTTATGTCAGCTCGTGCCTCGTGCTAGGTCTATGTGCTTTTGGGTTAATTAGGCCCGACTCATGACTCGGCCCACGAGTTTCATGCCATGTCGTGATAGGGGTGGCCTGTGCACGACCCAGGCTCACGTGCCATCGTGCCGGGCCTTGCCGAGCTTATTATATGCCTAAGCAAAATTACATTAATTTTAACATGCTTTGTCGTGCCAAACTCGGCCCACCGTGCCTTATCGTGCTTCTCCCAAATAAAAGCAGCATAGTCCCGACCCACAATCCATATGCACAATACCATGCTGTGCTTTTTTATACTGGGCTAGTCCTCGAGTAGGCCCCGCCCAGCGCCATCTCTAACCGGCGGTAGTGGTTTTAGTACCCTATCACCCTTTTCATCCCACCATATACCTTTTTCACTTTTTGTCACCTAAGATAAAGTACGAGAAATAAACAATAAATCAATAATACAGTACGGGACTACGGAGTATCTGTTTAACAAGATTATGCTTATCAACTTTTATTTCCCCTCATTCAGAAGAAAAAAATAATAAAATAAAATAAACTTTTATTTTCCCCAAAAAATATTAAAATCGTAAGTTGAACGTAAATTATAATAACGGCATGTGTTTGGTTTGGTTTGATAACTTTGCTAACGCACTTCTTGTTGGTAATTGGCTGGCTTCATAAATTGTCATCTCCGATTCACCGGCACTCGGACCGCCTTCCACCAACGGTGCTGTCTAAATTAGCATCATTTTGGTTTGTTTGATTATTGAACACCTTTTCAAGTTTTCTACTTATTGTTTGAGATCGATTGAATTTTCTTCTTTGATTTTTATTTTTTTGGCTTTATTGATTAATTTTTTGTGGGTATTTGGCAATGTGATATTTACTCCGTTCAAAAGGTTCTTCCTTTTTTTTTTACTTGCAAACAAGAAGAATTTTTAGAACAGAGAAAGTACTGATTTTCAATTAGTATTGTGAAACTTGATTCATTTTTAGTAAAAGTGAGGATTTTTAATTAGTGGGTAGTAGTCATAATTTATAATATCATACGAATGATGATTTTATGATCAGATATGATAATACAGTTCAATCTGTTGATTAATATGGGTTAAAGATTGATGGGATTGCCTTTATGAACAAATGATTGGTAGGGTAAGCCTGAGTAATTTGTGAACTCTTTGGTGGGGTTGCTTGGATCTACATCGTTTGCTTGAATTTTGAATAACATTTATTGAGAAAATGGTTTGGGATGTTTCTAAGCATTGTTTGAAATCTAATCTTGTTATGGTTTTGAATTGTGCATTTCTTGTTATTGATTATACTACCTCCGTTACACATTATTTGCAACGATTTGAAATAAAGTAAAGAGGGAAAATGTCTAATCGTTGCAAATAATATGTAACGGAGGTAGTATTTATAAAAATCGGAATTACAAACTGTTGTGTTTTCTATCTTATTTATATGTTCTTATGTATAGGATTATAGGAATGGACTTAAGTTGGTAATTGGAAATAGGGAGTAACTCAGTTATGCTGTTATAGATTATGGGGTCGAAGATTTTAGTGAGGGCTATTCTTCCATTGGGTAAAAATTAATTAATGTTTTAGATGGATTAATTTATTTCTTGCTGATAAGTCCATTTGATTTTTCATAAATAAAATCACAAGTTAAATTCAACCATGTAGCAAGATTGAATAAGGTAGTTTGATATACTTTGTAGTAGATACTGTAGTATAACTTTGCATTTTACCTTAGGGAAATGCAGGTGTAACACAATATTGCTTGCACTATTTGTTGATAAGTTAGAATATTTTCCGATTTAATTTTCATTCAACACACACGATCTTCTGTAGGAATCTTTGCTTAAATATCATGTTTTAATATTTTAAGATGATCTGTTGGTAGATTTCGGGGTGTTATGTGGTTACCAACTATTTATTTATGAGGGATCAATATCAACTACTGTTGCCATTGCACATCAGGAAACAGACTAATAACAATGGCAGAGGGAGACCCCGGGAAGAAAAAGTTCATAATTGATACTGATCCTGGCATTGGTAGGCCTTTTGTGTCCCATGTTTGCTTTATTGAACTTTGTGACTTTCTATGGCTCTTTAATGATTTTTTAATTACCCAAAATTATTGTTGTTTTTTTTTTTTTTTTGATTGAGAAAATGCAGATGATGCTATGGCAATATTTGTGGCACTTCAATCACCCCAGGTGGAGGTGATTGGTCTCACTACTATATATGGCAATGTCTACACCACACTAGCGACAAGAAATGCCTTGCATTTGGTATCTCTTTAACTTTCTTAGTAGCACTAAAAAAATTATGTAGCTGGTGTATATCAAGCATCAAGTATGTTTGATATCTCATATTCAGGTTCAACTCTTCTTTGAGGCATGATGTAATTATGTAAGGATGCCAATGAGGTCCTAGTCTAAAGGCTATAATTGAGAATTTGAGATGTTGATTTCTTTAGGTCCCAGTTTACCAGGTTAATGCCCCTCTATTCCCTGTTGTATGTATGTCGATCTATTGTATTGGCCTTTAAGCCTCAAATAAACTAGGATGAAATGAACTTGAGAATAACTATGGCATAAATCATTCTAATTCAACAACCAGGATGAGGTATGGGTGTGAGTTTATGGGTTTGCCTTGAATTTTTTTTTTTCCTAGATGAGTTATTCATGATTTTGATTTTACGAGATTCTGGATCATCATGAATCATAATTGTTAGATCAATAGCCAAACACAAAGATGCATAGCCTAAAACAGATTGATTCTTCAAATTTAGATTTCCTGTTATGGTGCTTTAATGAACCCAATATCTTTTCATTTGAATTTATTTCATTTGTCTTTTCTCTCCTGGTTTGCTTTCCTTGTGGTGTAGTTAGAGGTGGCTGGGAGGACGGATATTCCAGTGGCTGAAGGATCTCACTTTACAATCACTGTATGCCTTCTGTTATGGATACTATATTTCAGCTCCTCTTTCAAATTCACTGAAATAAGAATTTAACACAATCTGTTGCTTATCAAGAATGGTACAAAGCTCCGCATAGCTGACTTTGTTCACGGGGCAGATGGTCTGGGCAACCAAAACTTTCCTCCTCCAAATGGAAAGGCAATCGAGCAATCAGCAGCTGCTTTTCTTGTTGATCAGGCTAGCAAGTATCCTGGAGAAATCACTTTAGTGGCTCTGGGACCTCTAACAAATATTGCTTTGGTAGGTTTTATTGTATTTGACCCTTTTTTCTTCTTTCTGTTTGTGTTTCCATTTGGAACTTTAATAGAGTAGTTATCAATTATTCTATATTTTGCTGCTTTAGCTTGTCCCCTTCCTTTGTCATATATGCTTACTTGAATAACGCCCACAGGCAATCCAACTTGATCCTGCATTTACAAAAAACATTGGAAAAATTGTTATTCTTGGTGGAGCTTTTGCCGTGAATGGCAATGTAAATCCTGCAGCTGAAGCTAATGTAAGTAATTTTTCCTTGAGGTTTTAGATTAGAAATATTTTTCATTTCTGTGATGATCTGTACCACTCTGCCTTTGGGATTTCAATTCATTCTCATTCTCTTAATGTCCTTGAACTGTTTGGACAGATATTTAGTGATCCGGATTCTGCAGATATTGTTTTCACAAGTGGAGCTGATATTCTTGCTGTGGGAATAAATGTGACCCACCAAGTTCTTTTCACTGGTAACATTCTAGAATCTACAAAGGAATAAATATATGCAAGTGACGTGAGTCATTTATAATAGTGTTGCAACTATTCTCCTCAGTTTTTTGTTTATCATATGCCGTTCTCTCAATTTCTAGATTCTTTTGCAGGATGAGTTTTGTCACAAAAACTGATTGGCTAATCACACCGTTAGTCTTTAATTTGTAACACCAGGAGATGTTGGTCTTGATTTGAAGCTTTTATGCCTTTTCAATACTTGTGCACTTTGATTTTGAGTTTGATGCCTCAAGTCCAGCTAGAAGGATGTGTCGTAAATGCTGCTGACCTTTTTGGAATTTGATTCATCAAGGCTCTAGATAAAAATTGTTGCTCAGAGCTCTTGTTAACTGTTGCGACAAACGTTGCCTCCTCTTCCTTCCTCATCACCACGACACCACTTGTGCTCAATTTAGTTTCAACTTAATATATATTATTCCCTTTTGGACTTGAGTGTGTTCCATATTTTTTTTAAAAGGCTTCCTTTTGGGGTACTGCTTTTGATGTGATACTTCTTTACAATCATGGATAGATTCTTGGTGATCCTAGTGTAATTTTGGTTGTGCCAACGATGCCTCAAACAACTTCATGTTCATATTCTTGCTTGCAGATGCTGATCGAGAAAAGTTGGCAGCATCTAACGGAAAATTAGCTCAGTACCTGTGCAAGATCTTAGACGTGTATTATTCCTACCATTGTGATGCATACGATATTAAAGGTATGTCGAGTATTTTGGTTTTACCCTCTGGTAAAGATATTTATTTATTTATTACGGAGTATTATTTTTTATTCGAGTAGCTGTTAATTGTTCTTTTATGCAGGTGTTTATCTTCATGATCCTGCCACTATTCTTGCTGCTATAGATCCTTCATTATTTACTTGGACAGAAGGTGCCGTAAGAGTGCAAACAAGTGGTATTACTAGGGGTCTCACAATACTGTATAACAAACAGAAAAGGTAAGCCATTATAGCAGTCCCAATATATAATTACTATGGAGTACTTCACTTGTATATGTCAAATTAAAAATAGTATGAATTAAAAGTAGCTTCTTTTCTGTCTCAACAACTTTTCTCAAACTGCTTCATCTAGTGATCATATCCGACTTCGATATTATTGCTGGATTTCCCTTCTCCTGGTAAATTCAATTGCACATATCTCTGTTTCCATGCTCAACACTTGCTTCTGGATCTGATAGGTTTGAAGAAGTGACTGAATGGACCGATAAACCTACAGTTAAGGTGGCAGTCACAGTTGATGCTCCAGAAGTAGTCAAATTGGTCATGGATCGTCTTATGAGTTTATGATTTGTGGTGCTAACGCTATTGTTGATCAAGTGGCTCCAACATGTTCATCTTTTCTTCTGATGCCAGTCTAATTTACTCGCGGCATGTATAGTTTCAAGACAATTGGATGACTATAGTGGAGAATTTCCCTTTCTCCCACTCCCAGCCCCACCCCTTGTATTAGTAACTTATAAATAAACATAGCACGATTCCTTTACTTCATGTTGGTGCGTAAAGAACTAAGGGATGGGATATATAGATCAAATGCAATAGAAGAGAAACATATGTATGATGTATTTAGCCATCCTTTCATCTTTAATAATTGGCTGATTCTGTACTTGCAAAAAATTGGAGCTTTCACCTTAGTCTAAGGATTCAATTATTTTTTTCTCCCCCTGAAACTAGAGTTTGATGTATCATACTTCATACTCACTACGCCCTCCAAAAGTAAACTCCATTTAACACCCTATTCTATTTTCTTAAGCTTTGTGCAAATAGTAAATGTTAAGATCAATTAGAAATGGAGGTAGTATAGATAGTCAAAATGATTGAATGTATGGTTTATATAATTATTTTTTTAGTGTAAATTTGATGATGTTAAAAAAATATATAATTTGTATAAAGTTGATTTTGACATATACAACCGCAATTGCTGAATATACTAATAACAGAATCTTGATATATTTACCTTAGATTAACAACTCTTTGTTTATGCATTAGAGCGCACAATATTCACTATGCACCTGTTTTAAAATAAAACTCGCTCAATCAGCATCACACACGCACACGCATTGACAACCCAATCGACCTAGGCCTCCCTTGATAGCTCATAACATTCGCAAGTAGACAATAATTTTGTTTTTGTTTTGGTGCATATGATCGACCATGAAACCGACTCAAGGCCAAGACCCCACCCACAAGAAGATCCTTTTGACCTCCCTCTCGGCCATGGTAGCCGAGTCAACCACCTTTCCAATCGACATAACCAAGACCAGACTCCAACTCCACGCCTCCTCCGCCGCAACAAACGCCTTCAAAGTGGCTATTAACATTGTAAGAAACGAGGGTTTTCTGGGTTTATACCAAGGTTTATCCCCTGCTATTATTCGCCACCTCTTCTACACTCCTATTCGAATTGTGGGTTATGAACATTTGAGGAATGCTGTTCTTGTTGCTCAGAATCAACGTTCTGATGCTGTTTCTGGGTCTCTTTCTCTCTCCTCCAAAGCCCTTGTCGGAGGTTTATCTGGGGTTATTGCTCAGGTATAAATTTTTATACATTCTTGCTTTTTTAAAAAAATTACTTATCTTGTTTGATTGAGTTGGTTAATGATCTGGGTTTGAGAGGATTTTTACAATTTTTGTTAAGCTATATGATGTTTTTATCTATTTTGTGTTTTTAGTGGTGAAATTTGAGCTTCTTTTGAAAGGGATTTAGTGGATTTTCCCCTAATTTTGTACATAAATTTTTGGTTTTAATATAATGCTTGCTTACTTAACAAAAACAACAACAAAAGGTGGAATTTTTGGGCAACTTGATAGTTATGTGACGGTGTTGTTTGATTTTTCTGTAATGTGTTCAAGAGTGGTGTTGGAATGATGAGATAGAATTGCAATTTGGAAATGGGAGGAATAAAAAAAAAATATATTGGAGAAAATGATGAATAACTTGTGTGATTTGGGTTGGTAATTTTGGGTGATAGTATTTTTTCTTTTTTGAATTGTCTGTAGTTAATCAATTCACAGTGAGGAAGTTAAGATAGCAGTTGTATTGTGGAGGGTGTTGTACTCAAATTAAAAACATAAGGGTTTTGTTTTTCTGAAGGATTCGAGAGCAAAACACAAATTCAAGGAGAATATTGCCCTTGGGTAGGCTGTTGATCCATGAAAATATTTCATCAGTGTTCCTGTATTTCATTTGTTGATTTGCTCTGCTTTATAGGTGTATGGAAGTCATCTTCTGCTCACTGTATTACATTTCTTCTAAATATTGCCTTTCAAATGAGTCTAAGTTCATCTAGCTATTATCCCCACCAATGACTTCCTCTTATGTCAGTAATTATTTCTAATGTTTATTAAACAATGGCTACCGCGTATAAGTGTATAACCAATGAATTATTTGGGACCTAGGTATGAGTATAGTTTTTACCTATAGCTTCCATGATGGTTGTTAAGAGTTACTGTTTGTATTGATTTGGAAGGAGCATGCCAACCAAGTGAGACTTTCATCTTAGGATGCTAAATGATTCAATAACTTCTTTGGGATCATGAAGTGTGGTGCTGATTGTTTGAGAAAGGACAACGTGATGGACCAGATTTGCAAATCTAATCCTGTGTTTGGCTCGAAACCATAAAAAGGGAGGGAGAGAGAAGGGGGGGGATGGGTGGGTGGGTGGGTGGGTAAGGGAAAGAAGTTTGAGGAAAGGAATGAGCTTGCATTTTCCTTCTACAACTTTCAACATTGGAAGAATTTGGTTTTTTATCGACCGAGAAGCTTTCTTATTGTGGTTTTTATAAAGATTGATTGTAGGAGTAGAAATGTCATTTTTTTTCTATGATGTTATTGAAACATATAACTATTAAAAATATGTGAGTTTTATATCCTAAATATATTACAGTAGTTCTTTGTATGAATGAAATCAATGAATATAACTTGAATTTTTGGAATGAGTGCCTCACTTTGCCTCGACAATTGCCTTAGCCTCTTGTGTACATCGTAGGTGTTTTCTTGCTCAAGTTAATTTCAAAATTTTTGGTGGGGTGCGGCTTAGTTTAGTTGGATTAAGTGGCATAACAATTTTTGACCTCAAAGTAATGAAAGCATTCATCTAAGGTGGTCAATTAAGAATGAATGGAGCATGCACTACCTACGTAACTGTAAAAAGCTTAATAATGAATCTGTGGTTGCCATGGTTAATGAACTAGATTAATTCAACATGATGATGATCAGAAAGTTGCAGACTTTTGGAGTTCTGTTATCATGTGTCACTGTTGTTTTCCTGCACATGTTGAATTAGAAGACATAATTTAGTGAAGGAATGCTTAGAAATACGAAGTATGTACTCTTGGATTTGGTCTCTTATTGTGCTGCTTTTGTTCATTTCTTCTGCCTCTACATGATGGCTTTTCCAGAAGAAGTTTCCTTGTAAAACTTTTACTGTATGTGATTGCTTCTGGACTTGACTGGATCATAAATATTTATACGCTTTGGGAACTAACAAGTTCATCAGACACAATTTCAAAGTTATGGTACTTTGAATATTGCATACAAAAAAGATATGCTGGAGATGCTTTTCTCTTCTACACAGAACGAGTTTGGTTTACATGACAGCTCTTAGGTTTAAAGGGCTTTAGATGTCATCAGAATACCGGTTGAAGTTCAAAATCTGAAGCTCAGTGCTTAGGACTAAACCTAGATAACTTTTGCTGCTGTTTGTCACTTGGTGACTCACTGAAGACTTATCTTGAGCAAGTATTAAATTTAAGAATTTAGTTTCGATGAAATTCAACACATGCAAACTTGTGACCTGTGAGCTGATTGCTTAATTTCTTTGTTGTTGTCTCTTATTTATGTTTTCATAATCTATCGTTGTTCATGCCCCTAGGTGTGCAGGTAGTTGCAAGCCCAGCTGATCTAGTTAAGGTTAGAATGCAAGCAGATGGTCGTCTAATCTGTCAAGGTCTGCAGCCCAGATACTCTGGTCCTGTTGATGCTTTTAGCAAGATCATTTCTACAGAGGGTTTCTTTGGACTTTGGAAAGGGGTTGTCCCGAACATGCAAAGAGCATTTTTGGTCAACATGGGGGAATTGGCATGCTATGATCATGCAAAACACTTTGTTATTAGGAATGAGATAGCTGATAATATATATGCTCATACTCTAGCTTCTATCATGTCGGGCCTCGCAGCTACAACCTTGAGCTGTCCAGCTGATGTAGTAAAGACTAGAATGATGAATCAAGCAGCGAGTGAGGATGGTAAACTGATGTACAGAAATTCTTGTGATTGTTTGGTGAAGACAGTAAGGCTTGAAGGACCAAAGGCGTTATGGAAGGGGTTCTTTCCCACGTGGGCGAGGCTTGGTCCCTGGCAGTTTATGTTTTGGGTCTCATACGAGAAATTCAGGCAGATTGCAGGTCTCTCTTCTTTCTGATGTTTAGTCTTCCATAAATTTTGAAAAGTTTCTTATGTAATAAATTCTTCTGATTTTTTTTTTATTTTTTTTTATTTTTTTTATTTTTTATGAAGACAGTCTGTATTCTGAGGAAATTAGGCATTGCTTCCTTGATTTTAGTCCTGTCAAGTGCCAAACATAATTTATACAATAAATTTTTTCGTGTTGAGACCCTTTTGATTCATGTTTGATTGCATAGAGATCCCAAGTGTCTAGAGCGTTTTATTGTTTCTTAATCGAGATTTGAACGATGGGTTCTAACCTAGTTATTAGATTCTAAACTAGCGGATATGAGATTGACACTTTCATAAGTTGACAAATAAATTGTCATGTAAGAACCTCGTTATTATAGTATTAAGTTGACAAATAAATTGTCATGTATTAGAAAGCACAAAAATTAATAACGCAGCTCATAAGTTAGACCATGAATTTTTTACATCAAATATTCAGCTAAATGCATATAATTTGGGATTTCTATCACACAATTCACATTAACCCTATTTACTAATCATAAATGAAACCCTGTCCATCTTTTAAAACTTGTATAATCACTTCCTTGAGAAACAGCCAACCCTATTCCAGTCCTACCATGTACACCAAGTCCAGTAGTACCATGTATAACCTCCATTGATCATCATTTCCATCCATTTGAACCAAACATGGAGATCCAACTCCATTGCTATCCCATCCATCCTCCGACACCGCCATCAAAACCGCCTTGTCGCTCACTGGCCTCCAATCAGTCAATCCATCCTCCGATACCGCCAGCCCAATACTACTCCTCCCATCCCTGGCAACACCTTCATATGCCATCAAATAATTCCCTGCTTTGTTATTTCTTACCACACTAGCATTCACAACCCCTATTTCATCAAAACACCCCTCACTACTTACCCCTTGTCCTATACTCTTAATCTTGCCTAGCTTCACCCACTTAATCCCATCTCTTGATCTTGCGATACCGATACCGAATTTCTTTTCTTGAGGATCAAAGGAATGATAGTACATTCTCAAATCTCCACTACTATGGAAAACAACATGTGGGGAAGCAATGAACAAAGAGTCCCATTCCCCTTTTGCACCCACATCAAATAACGCTCCACTATGGTGATCACCTTCAATTCTAGCCCAATGTCTTCCATCTTGGCTTATGGCTAACCCTGGCAATGACTTATAAACACTCCCAAACCCGAACTCGAACCCGAACCCAACCCCTTTTACAGCTTCAGTAATTTGGAGACTGTATTCTTGTGGGAATTCCACCTCCTCAGAACACAAACCTGAGTAGTAAAGCCAATAAACAGCCATTGAAGCTCTAACTTTATTACTAGACATGATCATAACTTCACAAGGCCTAACACTTCTTGTATCAAATGCCCACCATCCCAGTTCCGGAACCCAAATCCACAGCTTGCTCTCCCCTCTCCCAATGCACCCCATTGCTTGAAACTGCCAACCCGATCGAACCCAAACCCGATTCTTTATCAGACTTACCATAGTACCACATATACCACCTCTCTTCATCATCACTCAAAAATCTTTTCACAACAGGGAACCAACTTCAGCACTATCCCAACATCCAGTTTGGCCAAGATCAAAGATTAAGCCCCTAGATGATGATGATGTAGAAGGGTTAGTACTTGAGCTAGAAGTGGGTTTGGGTGGGTTTTTTTCCGGGTCAATCTCATTTGGGTTAGAACCAAATTCTACATTGGAATTAGAATTGGGACTTGGATTTTCACCAATTATGTTGGGATTTCTGGAGCAGAGAGAAAGTAAGAGTGAAGGGTATTTCAGGGATTTAGCAAAATGGGGATAAGAAGAAATTATAAAGGTGGGATTTTTAGTGGAAATTGGAGTAGTTAAGTTGAGAGTGTTGTTGCTGGGTTTTGGGAAGTTAATGGCTTTCATGCTGCAAATCAGGTTGGAAATCTTGGAATGATTGATGGATAGTTAAAGAGAGAGAATTGAGGAAGATACAAATAAAGATTAATAGCCACTCAGATTGTGACACATCAGCTTGTCATTGCAGACTGTCAATTATATTTGTGGTTCATGGTGGAGCTGGGGATATTAAGATTTTGGTCATTTCTATAAGCCATTTGGTTTATGTGGAATTGCAAAATCTTCTATCTTCCCCTTTTAATTTAACTTATCCCAAGTATCAAATAGATGATCGTACAAATTCCAATATTTTAAAGGGACTGCTTGCATTATCTAGTTTAATCAACATATAAAAAAAACTAGTGTGCTTTTATAATAGAGAATTAATTCCAGTTGTTTCAATATACATACAAATGGAGGAATTTTAGACAAACCAAGGCCATATTACATAACAGCAGCAAAAAAACACTTTTTTTTTTTTCCTTTCTCCTGTTTCAGTACTTGAAGGAAGATATAGGCAACTAAGTTGCTCTATAAATTGAAATTAAAGAAAGAAGAAATAAACAACTTTAAAGCTAAAGAATTAAGAACTCTGGCAGCAGTAATACAGGGATATACTAGCACCAAATGGGAGTTCAGGAAAATTCTGATTTATTGGCAATTAGCATCCAATGAGAAAAATTGTAAAAAAATCTGATATTTGTTTTCTAAACTCTATAACTCCATCTCTAAACAAAAATCAATTTGATTTATGATTCTGATTCAGTAAAAGTGATCAAGTGAATCATGTAACAATAATGAAAAACCAAATGCATACGAATGGAGCAAAAGCAAAGGTGCAAACTCTTGGCAAGATAAAGCAAGGCCGCTCTAGTTTTTGATTGATTCAAATTACTTTTTCAAGAACTAAACGCCTCGTCCTCCAAACCTTTCCCGCATATCAGCAGCTCTTTCTTCTTTTAGCTTCTTAGCTATCTCTAGTATATGAGGATTGAAAAATCGGTCACGGACATGAGGTCGCTCCTCTGCCTGTATCTCCTTAATAGCACTCGGATATGGATTAGGAGGTGGTTTTGTCCCCTGAATATGAGCTATTTGCCTTAAACGCTTGTAAGCCTGCCTTTTGGATTTCTTCTCTCCTCGATATTCCATCTGGAGCAAATAGTAAAGTTAGCTTATAAGATCAAAAAAGATAATGAAGGCAGAAGTGCTATGTCCCTCCACAGATAATAGGTCATATTTTACTTTAAAGTGAAACACACCAACTTTGACTGCAAAATTGTCAAAATTGATATTGTGTTTGTGGATGGGATGCAGAAATTTTACAGTGGAATGACAAAATTAATGGCCAAAGTTGATTTTATTTTAGCACAAAACTCAATTGTAGCCTTATTATTAAGGGTAGAAGTAGAACTATGGAGATAATTGAGAAGTATATGGTATGAAGGACTGAAACATATAAAGAGATTAAAAACTATATATACAGTCTCTCATACATCAGCTACGGCCAACGCTTGTTCCTCTCTTACTCCTTGCTCCTTCAATTCGAGCACTCGCCCAGCAAAAATACAGGCTGGAACAGGACTGAAACCATTAAACCTGCTCAAAATGAAGAAAAGTCATAAACCAAACCAACAAAGCTGTCTCATAATAGAACATAGCTGGTCTTGGTGTTTTATCATTTGCTTGATTCTGCCAAGCAGTAAACATTGCATTGGGGTATCATTAACAATACTTAGCTAAAAGTCTACATACTGGAAATGAAGATTCAAGCACAAACAACTTCACAGCCAACAACTACGTCAATGAGTATCATTCACCACTCACATATACAACTGATCATGTTATAGTATCTGATGTCAAAATTCATAATAAAATATTTAGAAACACAACATCTGTAATTTTTTTTTCTATGATAAATTCATTACACATTCAAGTGCTTGAACATAATACAAACACATTAGCTTGGTTTGGACAACAAAAACTAGGCTCCATGACCATATCTAATAAACAGTACAAAGAAGAAAAATTAAAGTTATGGAAAAAGACATACTTGATAGGATCTTCATATTTTGACTCTGGATGCTTCTGATAGAATTTATTTACATAAACATCCTCAGGAAGGCTGATCGGCTTCACTTTTCCATCAGAACGAGGGAAAACAACAGGAGGGGCCCTAGAAAGCACAACTGAGAGCAATCAAATTTCAAACAATATAGAATAATTTGAAAAGAGGACGACTTTAAATTTATAGATTGAGCATGAAGTAGATATCAAATACTAGAAACATGAGGAGGCCAGCACATCATACACTAGAAGAGTGGACAATCAAAACTCCAAATTATATTTTCTGAACCCGAAGATTATAAGTAGTCATGTTTTACAGGGAACATTCATGAAGCACAATTTACGGATAACGGATTGACCCCCCAAGTGATTTTCCATATAGGTTTAAACCTCCAAACACCAAACAGGTAGTGATGGCCGTGTAAATTTGAATACTGATGAAGAACCCTATTATTATAAGTATTTCATCAATCATCATATATAACTTTCCCCAGCCACTTTCGATTTCGAGAAATTTCCACAGCCACTTTCGATTTCGAGAAACTTGAATCAATTCATTCTTAAAGTTCCCTAAACTAAAGCATAGATAAGATAGCAAAGTTTAACCTTTAATACCAAATTCCAAATACAATGAAAATCACCAACACCCATCAATGTGAAAAACCCAAAATTGACAAATGGGTAACAAAGAAATGTATCAATTGATCAAATACCATCTAAAACCAGCAATTAACAAACAAGAAAAGCATTCAAATCACCAGACAACTAGAGAATACTATGAGATTCAATCAATTAATGAATCCAAAAACGGCGAAAATTAAACCTTTATACTACCTAGGGTTTATGAGACTGCAATTTAGCAACAAAATACAGAAAATTAACAATTGGGAAATCAAGAAATGCATCAAAGAACAGAAATTTAACACGAAGCATTAATTTTGAACAAAAAAAGGGGAAGGAGAAACTAACTTTTGCATGGGTTTAAGCCAAAGGGGCTCAGATTTAGCGAGACCCTTAACCAGCTTTCTGGTTTTAGTGAGAAGATCACCCTTCATGAACGACATTCTCGTCTTCGACTTTCTCTCTCCTCACTTGAGCACTTCTTTCAACTGCTGTCTCCCTCTCTTTCACCGGATCTTGCTTTGTCTTCGTAAATGGTTAACCACTTAACCCAGATAATCGATTTGAGCCTATGCAGGTACGGGTTGAGTTTGAAACTTTGATTCAGGTATGGTCGTACACTCGTCTGGATCTGAGTCTGGTTCGATAAAATACCCCTTCATGATTCAGCCCATTATAATCATCATAAAGTATGGGTTTACTCATAATCTGTCTACTCAAGTACAAAACTACTAACTGAAAGTACAATTATTAATAGTTCTCCAATAATTAATGATGTGACTTTTTTCTAATTCTCTCTCATTCTCTCTTTACTTTCTCTCTCCAAGTACTCTCTATCTGGAAAGTACATTCGCTAACTTAAGCATCGAAAGGGTTATCCCGGGTCACACCCCCGGGTAGCTAACCTTCCTTGTTTTGTAGGTCGGACCTTCAGACGTACAAGCGGAGCCCTTAGACTTACGAGCCAAGAGGAGCTAAAAGGATACCCAAGCATTCGGACAATAGCCTTAGGACATTTTGATATACCTTATAATACTATAAGACTCTCAGGAGCATTATGTTCCTAGAAACAAAGAGGTAGTATAGATGAATAGTCAGTGCATCTATCAATTTGGGATATCTTTGTCTTTTTATCAACATTATTTATTTAATCCGAAAAAAGATGGTTGATTTACAAAATCAATTGATTGAATGGATGTCCCTCGTCTGGGTCTGGATTACCCAATTTTACTATCTTTAATTTTTAACCGTATCGGTTTGAGTGTTTAATGACATGGCGCTATAGTTTTAGGAAAGTGAGAAAAATAGAGTAAATACTCTTATCATGTAATGAGATTTGTTGGAAATCTACATTTTTTCAAGGGTAATTGCTAATGGGAAATACTTATAGTTAATTACTTTTTTTTTTCTTTTCTTTGTGCAAGAGAGGTGTGTTAGGAATGAGGGATTGAGGAGAGAAAAAGGAAGAGAGGTTTTGAGGAATCGAGAGGAGAGTAATGGTAGGTGGTCGTGGTGGCGGGAGAAAAGAGAAAGGCAGGTCGTGGTGGTTGTTGTGATGAGGAGTGAGGATGATATAGTTAGGTTTAGCTAACGTCCATCTATATAAAAAAACATTGCAAAAGGGTATGATTTGTCCTCTCACTTTTGACTTTCATGTAATCCGTAATTTTAGATATCTTTATATATACAAAGATATATTAGATAGCTTTAATCATGTTTAGTTTTATTTCGAGTTTAGGTTAGGTCAAATAGGTTGTCGGTCAATATCCATTCGGGTCGGTAACAAGTTCTAACAAGTTATAATCGATTTCAGGTTCTAAACAAGTCGATTACTAATCGGGTTCAGATCATAGTCAAGTCGAGTGAAATCGGTTTTTGGTTAATATCAAGTTGATTACATGTTTGGGTTCAGGTCATAAAGTATCAGGTTTATTAGTTATTAGTTAATGTCAGGTATGTTTCAGTTCAGGTTACATGTAATTGTTTTCACTTATTTTTTGAGTACGGATCAGATACAATTAGGTCAGTTTTTTGGGTCAGGTCGGGTCAGATTTTGACAGCTCTACTCACAACTTTGCAAGTGAGGGTAATAACTAACTAAGGCATGTTCATTTCAGCTTAATTTCAATTTAGTTCAGTTCAGTTCAGTTCATTTCAATTCAATTCAGCTCCTAATTTCCTTCTCTCATAAAACAATATAAGAAATAGGCCGATTTCCGACGGAAGTGCTCCGACGGACACGAAAATCCGTCGCAAACTGCGAAATTTCCGACGGATTTCAAACAGTTCCAACGGAATTTTCGAAGGAAAGTATATATATTCCGACGAAAAATTCGTCGGAAATAAAATAATTTCCGACGAATTTAAATCCGTCGGAAATTTCCAACGGAATTTTCCATCGCAAAGGCATCTGACTAAATTTTTTTTAAGAAAAGAAAACTTTGTATAAAAAGCTAACCCTAACCCATTACCCATCATTTCAGCTCCCTTTTCTCTCTTCTCTCGCCGCACCCTACTCCATCTCTCTCTTCTCTTTATCTCTCCTCTCTCTCTTCTCTTCAATCTCCCTCTCTTCTCTTTATCTCTCCTCTCCTTCGCTACTCCCTCTCCTCTCCTACTCCTTCTACTCTTTTTTTTTTCTTTGCTATTAAATTCCGGCAAAGCTAGCCTTCAAAGCATCCCGATTTATTTTCCGACCAAGCTCCGACGTGTTTTTTTTTATATCGAATTTATGGTTTTAAGGTCAAATTCGACCATGGAAATGCTAGATCTAGCATTTCCATGGTCGAATTTGTCCTTATATAACCAATTTCAAGAATAATTTCTGTTGTTGTGGTTGAATCGTTGTGGTAAGTCCATAAGTGTAGTAGATCTATAATTTTTTTATCTTTTGTTTTTAATTTTTTTGTTTTGAATTTTTATCTTTTTTTTTGTCCTGTTTTCATTTTTTTTTCGGGTTACTAGGTGTTGGGTTGGGATTTTATTTTTTTGGGTGTAGAGTGTTTGGGTTGGGATTTTATTATTATTTTTTTGTTGTCCTGTTTTCATTTTTTTCGGGTTTTGGGTGTTGGGGTTGGGTGTTGAGTGTTGGGATTTTATTATTTTTTTTCTTTTTTTTTATTTAATTTTTGGTTTGTGATGGTTTGTTTTGGTGGTGGCGGTGGTGGTTGTTGGTGGGTGGTGGGGGTGGTTTGTTTAGGTGTGGTGGTAGATCTAGGCTCGTTTGTGTGGGTTAAGGTTAGGTTGGTAAGGGTTTTGGTGGTTGTGGGCAGTGGAACGGCCGAACGGGTTAAGGGGCTGGTGGTTAGAGGTGTGTGATACGCCGTGCCGGTGGTGGCGCGGCGTATTTTTTTTTATTTCGTAAAAACAGTTTCCGACGAATTTTCCTGATGCTGAAAAACCTCTTTCGACGGAAAATTCCGTCAGAAGAAGAAAATTTTCCTACAGTCTTTTCCGACAAACGGTTGCGACGGAATTCCGTCGAAAACGGGTTTTCCGACGGACTTTGGGGTGGTTCCGACGGAATTTTTCCGTCGAAAATGAGCCTTTTTCTAGTAGTGAAATATTCATTTCAACTTTATTCAGTTCAACTCCAATCGGTTTAGTTTAGTTAAGCTCAGTTCAGTAATTGTGAACAGGCCCTAACTACCGTTGTCATTTCCCGACAATTCCTCTTTTTTTGGTGTTCTACCCGGTTCACCCTTTTGGGCTAATCCGGATTCGGGGATCAGTTATGGGTGGTTAGGTTCCAGTCCCCTCCCAATTGTTGTTGCGGGGGATCGAACACAGGTCCTTCGTTTGTCTTTCACATGGCAATGTTCATCTTAGACGAGTCACTTTTCTTTCCTCTATTGCTGACTTTTTTATGCTGCTCTAATAAAAAAAGAAAAAAAAAAAAGAGATTATATGGTGACTTAGCCTAGATGATTTTGTAGTGTCATTGAGGCACATGAAGTCGTTAATATTGTGTTTTTTTTATTAAATTATACGATTTGTATTCATAAAATTTTATTCTACTCTGTATATAAAATGTACAAGTATACTAAAAAAATGTACAAGTTTTTTTTTATTAAATTATACGATTTGTATTCATAAAATATACTTAAAAAAATCAACCAGAGACAACAATTGTCAACCAAAAAAAACTAAAACAAAAAATACAACAACTGACGACGCCGAGCACAATCAGGAACCAGCCAACTAGTGAGCAGGATTAACCCACAAACGAGGAACCTTTTAAACCCGAGAAACCAAAAGAAACTGAATTGAAGCCCGTAACTCCTGAATGAGCCACCAAGCATAAATTTCCATTGAACCAGAAGGAGGATGAAGAGTAAATTTATGTACATGAATTCATCAATGTTGAAATTTATTGCGTAGATTGGAGTTATTATGCCAGTGCTAGCTGCAGCAGCCGCAAGGGTAGGTGAGACAAAACAAATCTTGCTTACTCGTCAAAATTCCAATTTTTTTTTTAAATGAAAAGATAAACAAGAAGTTAGGATAATCTTCTCTCAACACTATATCCTAACTATCAGAAAAAATAAAAAATGAAAATTTACTATCTATGAACGGATCGATATCTTGGTGAGTTTGCATAAAATGGCCCAAAGACGCAACATAGTTTGCTGCTCTATTATCCTCTCAGTAAATGTAGCGTGAATCAACATGAGTGAAATTTCGAATCAGCTCCTTGACGTCTTCCATTAGTAATACTGTTGATACTATGCGGAGAACGTAGAAGATTTTCTATTGCTTTTCAACTCATTTTCAATTAATCGAGTTGGTGAGGAACTCACTCTGTGATTTTAAGGTCACAAGTTTGAGCCCCACCAACTGATTAATACCAGCATTATTGATATAAATAATTTTCAATATTGAATCATTAATAATGTAACTGACGTTAGCTATTCACTCAGAAATAATTTTTAAATCCAATCGTTAAAGGAAATATTTCAGCCAAACATATGTATTATAACAACTTTAAGTATGACTTTCCTAAACTTTTGAGGGAATAATGTAATTTCAGCCAAAAATACATATGGAACTTTGAGTGACCAAATGTGGTTAGGGGAATAATTTCTCATGTTTTGTAGGAATAAAAATTTCCAAAACAAATTCACTTTTCATATTTTTCTTTTAAATGATAACCAAACAACTATCGATAAACTCTTTTTCTATGAATTTGTAATTCTCCCATAATTAAAGTGCAACCAAACAACAACTTAATCTTTTTGTTTAATTTGTACTCTATACGAAGTTATAATTAACTGAGTATCCCTGTAACGTTGATTGAATAACCCTTACACTAATGAAGAAACCCATGCAACTCTAAGTAAGTAATTAATCCTTGTAAAATTAATGAAGTAATCCTATGATGATTGGCCATGTGGACTTTTTATGAAAATTTGGATATAGGTCATCTTATCCTTTTATTAAATAAAAACTTTTGATGTATGAGCATTTTATATATAATAACATGAAACTTTAGAGAAGTGAGAAGTGTTAGAGCTATTTTAATAAATACAGCAAAGGTAAAAACCATTAGTGTATATTTTTCAGAAAAGTATATATTAATCCCATCAGATCCCATTAATCTTTCCAAAAATATAAA